TTCTGTTGTAGATCTTGTCGGACTGCCGGGCGGTTCTTCTGGTCCTGGGTCCTTGGTGTGCGGATAAGGTGGCGGGGATGATGGTGCGTGAGCTGCAGAAATACATCAAACACGAACAGGAGGAGCTCCACCGCAAATTTCTGCTGTTCACCGATACTATACTGAGGAAGATCCATGCCCTGTGTGAAGAACACTTCTCCCCAGCCTCTCTAGATCTAAAATTCGTTACCCCCAAGGTCCTGCGACTCCTGGAGATCCTGCGTAAGTACAAACCCTATGAGCGTCAGCAGTTCGAGAGCGTGGAGTGGTACAACAACCGCAACCAGGACAACTACGTATCGTGGAGTGACTCGGAGGACGACGACGATGAAGATGAGGAGATTGAGGAGAAAGAGAAGACCGAAACCAGCTTCCCTTCCCCATTCACCAACATCCTGTGCGGGATCATCTTTGTGGAGCGCAGATACACGGCTGTCGTCTTAAATCGGTAAGGCTTGAGCCTCTGTTGCGGTTTACTGTGAATCAGAATTTAATGCTAAGCCAGAATGTCATTTCAGCTTTTTGTTAGTCTGTGAATGGGGCCTTTTTACAGCAGTACAGGTATGGCCCATTCAAGTCTATGGGAAGTGCAGAGGTGCCGGCGTTTCTGAGAAGATACCTGCTTGGAGGATGTAAACATCGCTGGAGGCTGCCATGGTCAGAGGGAGGTTTTGGGGCACTTGGATTGGGTGATATTAGCTGAGAATAGGTTTAAGAGAAAGGCAGTGGGAGCTGGGGCCTTTTAAATCTAAACATGACAGTGTCCTTTAAAGGAGAACTATGAGGTGGGTGCTTTTCACTCACCACATAGTTCTAGCTGACCTGTGACAATGGGACTCGCAGGTCGGCTCAGTAGATCGGGAGCTGAGCGAACATATAGCGGTGTTCGCTCACCTCTCGATCCTGTCACGGCTCTCTGCCGTGACAGGGGAGGGGCTGGATTCCCCCCTCCAATCCGCCAGCGCTTACTGGCCGAACAGACAGGAGAGGGCAGAGCCAGCTGTCACGCAGCTGGGCGGATCTCGACATCGATGTCGGGATCCGCTCCGGCGTCTCAGTATACCGCGAGCTGTAGCTTCCTATATACTGAGCTTAGGGTAACGGGAGGACGCTAGTTTGTGTCCTCCCGTTACCCTAAGGAGAACTATGGGGAAAAGCCCTGACCCCATAGTTCTCTTAACAGCTGAACTCTGAGCACTTCCCTATAGATATATTCCACAATAGTCACAAAGGGTATAAATCCACTCTGTGTGCACCAAATGTTGGAAAAGTAAGGCAGACACAAGACCTGTCGCCCTGCACAAAGATTGAGAATGACAGAGACTGGTATGCAAAGGGGCTCCCTTGCCTGCACTCCCATTTCTCCTTCTGTAACAGCCGTAAAGTGATGACATAACAGAGAAAGCTATGTGGCAGCGCTCAGGCCATGCAATTGTCTGCTAGGCCTGAGCACTGTCCAGGGGAGCAGGTCACATGGTCCCCCCATACCTGAAAGCGCAGGAAAAGTGAGTATAAAGGGTAGGTGCAGAGTCCTGGGACAAGCTGTTTAAAGGAAATGCGGAGAATCTTCATGTTTCTCTGGCTATGTTATGTTGATTCTGGATCAGCAAATTGCCAGACAGCTATCAACATACCATATCCCTTTTGTTCCAGCAAAGCATGGTCCTGCTATGCTCTGTATGCTTGCTGTAGCCTGGCTTTTCATAACTATAACTTGTCATTTTATTTTAAAAATGAAACTTTTTTTAATGTGTATAAAATCTCACAAATGGCATTCTGTAGAAACTGTTTGCCTTCAGGCTTTCTCTCCATACTTAAGCCTGTATGAAGCAGTATAGAGGGGAGTGGAGGCACCCCTCTGAATCATTATGCAATTTGACCTCATGGTCTATACAGACATGTGGGCCACTTAGGAACTGCTGGAGGCTGACTTATTAAAAAAAAAAAAAAAAAAAAAAAAAAAATGGAAATTTGGTTTTACCAAAAGGG